CCATATTTTTCTATATAATGTTTTGCCTTTGTAATCATCTTAGCATACTGCAAGTCTACCCGACAGGGTCTGTCTAATATAAAACAACAGGTTTTCTGTAGTCTCTGATGATATAACACACCATGACCATGAATGTTATGAAAGATCTAGGCTGCTTAGAATTTAACATGCATGAACAATTAAAGTTTTTTTTATAAATTAAATTGTGTTTGGCAATAGTGGCCCATGTCTTGCTGATTCACATGACGATGGTAGATGTATTTTAATGAGTTTACCCTCTTATGCATATGTACAGTGGGAAAGAGGGTGGGCTTTAATGCCCATACGTTGCATATATGTGACCATTGAGGTATCTGGGATGAGAGCATGTTCCCAGCACAGTGGCCGAGATCGCATCTACAGCTTTTGCTCTTTAGTAATGATCAGGAGCCGGGGGTATTGGCTCCTGATCATGTAATCATTGTGACAGCCAATTACAGTGATCATCTGGGTGTAAAGATCCTGTTAAATGAATGTTGAGGTATGGCAGGAAGGGGAAAGAGAACCTGCTGTTTAACATCTCTTGCTTTGGTAATAGAACTAAATATCTAGTACTTCCAGAAACAGGGTTGCAAGTGACCTTTATTTCCACAATACAGAACTGTGTGGCTGACAGGTCAATTACTAGCCTCCAGTGCTGTCACATGAGGGTGGGTGAAAGTCCATAGCCCCGTCCAGACAGAGCAACTAAGACTAATGGATTGGTGAAGGAGAAAAGAGAAGGTAAGTATAAGCGTCTTGGGAAAGAACCTTAAAGGGTACAGACAAAACGTTTTGTTTTGTTTTAGACAAAAAAGAGATATGTTAAAACCTCTATTGTTTTTTTTTTTATTATACTGTCTTTGTCCATGGGGAAGATTTTTCTTTAACTTCCTGTCTAGGAGAAGTGAGAAGAAATATCTACAAAGTGAAGGGAAAACTTCTCTTAGACAACTGTCACCAGATGTCCCCATTGGGATATTTACCCTCATCTCCTGTTCTATAAAAATTTAGATTTTCCTTCACTTTTCACGCGGGCAGACTCCACCAATGGATCTGCCTGCTCAGCAGGGGATCTGTCCGCTGATCCTGGTAGAGCAGGCGGATGACAGGTCCACAGACCGCTTTCCTCTATGGGATGTAAATTGGCCGCCTGGCCGTTTACATCTGACTGTCATCTGCCCCGCTAAACGGATGGGGAACAGATCCCTATCGGTCTGGTTTTAGCAGATGAGAATGGATGCGGGCAGGTGCAATCAGACACATGCCCATTTACATCCGCCACTCTGTAGAGGGCAATGGATGGTCTATTCGGATCCGCCTGAAAAACTGATAGGTGTACCCAATTGGTCCGCCTGTGTGAAAGGGATCTTACTGATAACAGCCACCAGGATACATAAAAAGAGTGGATCTGCAGAGCAGGAACACGACAATAAAAATCTGGCCGCAAGAACCAGCCACTGACAGATGCTGGGCAAACCCACATCATTGTCAAAACATCCATCAATAAAATTTAGTTGATTCCCCATGCATTGTTTGTTGTTTCACTCTCTTAGGCCCCGATGAAGGGGGCAGAGCTGCCATCCCCAAAACATGTTAGCTAGGTAACTAATCTTTTATTAGAATAAAGTAGCATCTGAACTTAAATACCAAAGTGTGGCACTTCAATTCTAGATCCACTCATCTCTTATCACAAGCCAAGGTGATGGTGGAATTTTCTTAATATGTAGAAGCTGCCACCCAATATTCAGATAGTCTACAATTACATCACCACCACACTATTGGATAATATGGACAATACAAAAGAGATTTTTTGAAAACTTGTGATTATAGTGGTATTAGTCCATTTTCCAGACATTTCCTTACCTTTTCCTACTCAATATGAACATTAAGAAAAAAAAGTTTTGGCTATACGTGAACATGTTGCTTTGACCTGCATGGTCTCACTGTATTTTTTTTGTGATATGGGCAAGGTTTCTTTAAGCTTTTGTTAGCTGCTGTCAATTGCCTGGTGGGTTTTGTTGTTTTAAACCTGCTAACTACAACATGTGCTAGCGGTAGAGAAACCTGTCTTGTAAGTGCATTTTGGCACTCGAAAATTAGTAATTTTTTTAAGACCACTACAAAACTTTGATACCAGAGACATGTTCCATTTGAATGTGATAAAATATATTTTGGTAGCACTGTACAGAACTCACTTAGTTACAGTATATGAGTATGCCCTCACATACTATAGATGGTCAAACTGGTCATCCATATGGCCCAGGATATCAGGTTCCAATGTATAGAATGTATCCAGAATAATGAAATGCTGCTTTTCCATGAGAAAGATATCAATAAAAGTACGCACTGTATTTACATCTTAAATTAAAACACAAAGTGGATTACATAATAGCGCTCTATCTCCGAACATTCCTATGTTGAAAAAAGAGACTTTTTATTAGTTTTCTCTTCCAGTTAGACTAAGAATTACCCCTTTCGCTCTCTATTTCTGGCTTAGTATTATTTCTTACTAAAGAATAGCGCACTTAGGCAGACAGAGACTTGATTGTATGGATGACTAGAGATCGGGTTCTAAGCCAAATGTACTCAACGTTCTCAGTTTACCAGCTTCAGCGCAGCTCCAGTCTAAAAACAAACCCTTTCAATATTGAGTGGATGGGAAGCTTATTCAAGTAATCTTTTCTCTCTGGGCTATGACATTCTGCAGCACCAAATTTATTTTAAGGAATTTCTACATTATGGTTCATCTTTAATATTTAGGATGTGGAAGAGTTTACGACCGATTTTTACTTCACATTACGTTGTCAATGGCACATCAGTCTTTTTTAAAATGGGCCCCTCCCCATTCACAAATCGCCTATTAGAAGGAACAAAATGTACACATAAGAAGAACGAAGTAAAGGTTTTGTTTATTTCCCGCCGCCACACACCATCTTCTGCCCACGACACCAAGACAAGGATGACGTCACACTCCTGCAGGCTAGATAATGGGGAATACAGAACAGCCAGTATCGTGGGTGAAAACACTTTTGCAATGGTCTTCTCATGGTATTTCTCCTGCTTTGCTGCCCTAGGAATCTTGCTGGAAGGACAGTGGCAGCACACCCAGCAATGCAGAAGACAAGGGTATGGCTGGCTATAGATGGTAGATGGATAGCTTTTGTTCAATCAGCCAGCAGGCTGATTGAAAAAACTGTATGGATTCCCCCATCCAAAGAAGCAAGGTGGATAGAGGAATCCTCCCTGCTGTGCTCCTGTATTTTGACAATGAGGACACCTCTGAATAGCTGCAGCACTGATAAAACAAACATTTTTCAACAAGCCTGTTCATCAGTCATCAAATAAATCATTCGATCAACTTCTTACAAACGGCCATAGATGTATTGAAATTCAGTTGGTCCCTACTAAGCCGGCTGAATTTTGATCCATCTATGGCCACACAAGTGGATATGCAAGTGTAAATTAATCTTTAAGCGCATCTTCAGCCTTAAAACAATCATCTCTCTTTTCCACCCCTCCACTACACAAATACCACCTTTTTTTGTTTACATATCTTGTTTTTTTTAAGAAAAGTCTTCCAGCTGATTCCCTCCCCCATGCATGTCACTCGCCTATGCAAATGATATGCACTGTTCTCCCTGTGCCTTCTGGGATATGCATGTCACATTACCCAGGAGGTATATTCCTTCATTCAGTAAAGGATGAGGGGGGAGCCTAGGGAGGAATCATTGGGAGGCCTCCTGACTAAAACCCGGAAGAGCCAGCACCCTTCCGCTGACATGACACAAAAATGGTGGCACATGACCAAGTGGTGGCAGAAAAGGATCTCAGCAGGTCAACGCTGGAGCCACTGGGTGGGGGAGTATCTGAAATGTGCAGAACCCCCTCCCAGTAAACAGGGGTTTTAAAAAAAATAAATTGGGGTGAAGATGAAAAAATTCACTTGAAGGTGACACACTGTCGTCATCAGCAGAACATTTTTATGTTGGATCACATAGGGAAACACAGGTCAATTTTTGCCATCTATGTCCCATTTGAGAGATTGCCTTCTGACTTGCAGACACAAAGTGAAGTGAGAAGAAATCTCTTCAAAGTGAGGGAAGAGATCTCTTAGAAAATTGTCTCCTAGAACAAGCATTCTCTTTGGAAGCTTACCTTCTATTCCTTTTCTGGTGACACCTTAAAATTTTGGATGTTCCCTGAATTTCAGTTCCAGTGACAGTGGTCACCAGGACAAACAGAGAGGGGATTGTCCTCAGTGGAACACAACTGCTTCCTGTCTACATGCTGTCTAATGTGTATTGAAACACATTGGACTTGTAGTCTCCATTGGAACCATGTGTGACAGGATGACAATGCAGGAGCACAACTGAGAGACAGAAACAGAGTACTGTTCCTCTTTAAAAGGAAGTGTCCAAATAAGAACATTCATGGCAGGATCACCAGGTATTTTATTATGCGGATTTAAAAATATTGAAAATAACTTTATAAATAATATTAACATGGTAAAGTTTATATGAGATTTTAACGAGTGGGTTTACATATACTTTAACATTCATATCATATGGTTGTGTTAAAAAAAATATTTTTTGTTGTTTTTTGGACCCCAAAACAATCATAAAGGGAGCCCTGGAAAAATGGCACACTGACATTTGGAGCCAACAAAAGCATTGAGCATCCCTGTAGGATATTAGATATTATTATTATTTAACGATGTATCTGAATTACCACCCATTGGTTATCAATGCTTTTGCTTTTTATACACAAAAAATGTAATTAATCAATCAATTTAGTAAAAAAAAAAAAACAACTGCCTTTATATTTTAAATATATAAATAAAAACAACGGCATATCAGTAGCAGGTCACTTTTTGTCTTTTATACATAAAAATAGCATATAATCCCCATGTGAGTCCAGATTTCTTTAGGCACTGTTACCATCGCTCAGCAACAAAGGACATGGCGCATCAATGGTTCCCGTCACACCTGGAACTCAAACATATCCGTCTGTTTTTTTTGCCAGTTTGGCAACTTCTTCTCTTATGGCTTTTACCAAAGCAGCTGTAGATAAATTGGTGATCGAGGCGTCCGGAGTGTCGGTATCGGCCAGACTTTGCTGAGAAGCTCCAATTGATGCTCCAGCAGCATGGTCCAAGCTCGTGTGTAGGTTAGCAGGTTGACCAAACTGCCTAGGGAGACGGGAAGGAGAGTTCTGAGGGTATCTTGACCTCGGATAAGCCTCAATATAACCAGGGAGGGGAACCTGGGAGTGACAAATAACAGTACATGTAATTAGAAATTCAGTTTCTGAGGGTGAATTAAATTGTAACTATGGACAAAAGCAAAATGACAGATATAAAGCAGTCTAGAAATACCGCTACCTGTGCTTTTTTTCTGAGTCCTCTGTAGGATAATATTATTACCTGTTGATCCAGACGGTTGTTCCACTGATTTTTCTTTCCTTGTAATACGGTGACAACAATGTTCATTCTACAGTAAAATCACTGCAGTTTTCATCCTATATAAAGGGTAGTCTTAGGGATCTACTTATAAGGATTTTCCTATTTGAATGCCTCAGAATTTGCTCATCCATTGCAAATAATCCCTGTAATATCTCTAATATCTGTATTTCTATGATCATCAGCTCAATCTAGAGGCCATAATGCGGTATTTTCCTGTTTGTGGCATTTCAGGAAAATATAACATTATGGTCACAAAATGGAGCTAATGATTATAGGAAATACAACACATTACAGGGATTATATATGAAAGCTGTATGAATGCTGAGGCCTTCACACAGCAATTTTGTTCATAAATGGACACCTTAGTCTTCTAGATATCCATTAAGAAAGTAAACATAAAACAAAAAAAAGTATAACTTCCAAGGAACACTATCATCATTTAAACATTACAAAGAATATAACAGAATATGCAAAAAGAAAATAAAGGCCCGCAAAAACTGAAAATGAATGAAAGATTGCAAAAGATAGCAGGACCAACCCCAAAAAATTCTCGAAATATATTAATAGTAAAGAGGTCCAGTCCAAGCATGTAGGCCCTTTACAAAATCGTCTAGAGTGGGTGACTGGGGACAAAGAGAAGGCAAATTTATTAAATACCTTCTGCAGCTGTCTATACAAAGGAGCATGTGGAGCTCTTGTCCATAATGGGCATGGTATTGACACAGCTCCAGATGATCCACACTGGCTCACAATTGATATGATCTAAAAATATTTAGACAGAATAAAGGTGAATAAAGCACCTGAACCGGATGGCATACACCCACGGGTCCCTAAAGAATTGAGCTCTGTCATTTCAAAGCCATTTTTTCTAACTTTTTGGGACTCTTTAATGACTGGCATACTACCATTGGATTCACGTTAGGTCAATGTGGTGCCAATATTTAAAAAGGGGTCAAAATCTTTACTAAGTAATTATAGACCTGTTAGTTTAACTTCTATAATTGGGAAGATACTGGAGAGTTTAATAAAAAAGACCACATAGTTCTTTGCTGGAAAAAAAAAATATTTTAGGCAACGGGCAGCATGGATTCATGAAAGACAGAAGTTGTCAAACAAATCTGATTTCTTTTTATGAGGAGGTGAGCAGAACCTTGGACAGAGGGGTGGTGGTGGACGTGGTATACTTGAACAGAGGGGTGACGGTGGACGTGGTATACTTAGATTTTGCAAAAGGATTTCACACAGTTCCCCACACACGGCTAATGTGTAAGGTAAAGTCTACAGGCTTGGAAAAATCCGTATGTAAATGGATAGAAAACTGGCTAAAAGATCGTATTCAGAGAGCAGTGTTTAATGATTCATACTCTAAATGGTCTAGGGTCATCAGTGGTGTACCCCAGGGTTCAGTGTTGGGACCCTTACTTTTTAATATGCTTATAAACTATATAGGGTCTGGGATTAAAAATCCCATTTCAGTCTTTGCAGATGACACCAAGCTGTGTAGTGGAATAACGTCCTTACAGGATGTCTCCAATTTACAAGCCAACCTCAATGCACTGTTTAATTGGGCAACTATGTGGCAAATGAGGTTTAATGTTGATAAATGTAAGATTCTGCACTTGGGAGCTAAGAATATTCATGCATCATGCATACTAGGGGGCAGGGGCAGACTGACCATTCCCGGGGTCAGTAGGGGGCCCCATGAATGCCCCTGGTACCTTTTCTAGGCTTTTTTGGGTGTGCTTTGAGTGTGAGCAAGGACACATGGGCCTCATGATCCCCTATTGCCCAGGGGCCCCATGAGTTGTCAGTCCACCCCCTGCTAGGGGGAGTACAACTGGGGGAATCAATGGTGGAGAAGGATCTGGGAGTTCTGGTAGATCACAAGCTTAATAATGGAATGCAATGCCAAGCTGCGGTTTCTAAAGCGAGCAAAATCCTCTCTTGTATTAAAAGAGGTATAGACACCAGAGAGAGAGATATCATATTACCCCGGTACAAATCATTAGTAAGACCTCATCTGGAATATGCAGTTCAATTGTGGGCACCAATTCACACAAAAAGAACATTGGGGAACTGGAGAAAGTACAGAGAAGGGCAACCAAACTGATAAGAGGCATGAAGGAGATCAGCTATGAGGAAAGATTAGAGGGACTGAATTTATTCTCTCTTGAGAAGAGGAGATTAAGGGGGGATATGATCAACATATATAATACATAAGGGGGGATATGATCTCCATGTATAATACATAAGGGGGGATATGATCTCCATGTATAATACATAAGGGGGGATATGATCTCCATGTATAATACATAAGGGGGGATATGATCACCATGTATAATACATAAGAGGGGATATGATCTCCATGTATAAATACATCAGTGGTTCATATAGTGAAGTCGGTGTAGAGTTATTCACCCTGAGGTCATCAGAGAGGACAAGGGGGCACTCTTTACATCTGGAGGAAAAGAAATTTAATCTCCAAACACGGAAAGTTTTTTTCACAGTGAGAGCTGTGAAAATGTGGAATAGACTCCCTCAAAAGTTGGTTCTGGCCAGCTCAGTGGATTGCTTTAAAAAGGCCTTGGATTCTTTCTTGGATACACAGAATATAACTGGATACTAACATTTATAGGTAAAGTTGATCCAAACGGCCTTCCATATTATCCTATGTGTACAAGCACACATAGATATTTAGAAGCTTTTAGTAGAAAAAGCTTATACCAGCAGGAAAAAAATGGCCAGTGCATCTAGGAGAAGCAGCATTTTTTGGCAGAAAAAAAAACACTGACAGCTCCTAAACTCTGCTAAAGTCTCCTAAACTCTGACAGGGTCCAGCATTTAGTTTTTTTCTTCACTGGTTGTTAAGGGGAAGGCTGGGAAGCCAGCCGCCGCATCTTTAACAATGGATGAGTCATCAGCTGTCAATGGGATTGATGACTCATCCGTTGTTAAGGATGCGGCGGCCAGCTTCAAGGCCCTCTCCTTAACAACGGCCAACCTTGTTAACGCTGAAGCTGCTAAACGTAGCTTACACACTATGCTAAACACTGCTAAACCCCAGCAAAAAGCACTAAAACATTAGTTTTTTTTTATTCAGCATTTCTAAAACAGTTTTTAGCTTTTCTAGTGTGCATGAGACCTAATAGTAGAAAGAAAAAAAAAAAGATTTTGCTGTGCTATACTCACCTTTAAAGTGGAAGTTTACCCTACAATTACCCTATGAATAATAAACAGCCATACAGTATAACGGACATTAATAAATGCATAACGCCAGCAATAACTCCATGCTTTTATACTCCCTATGATATACCCCTTTCAGGCCCCCTAAATGCCCCTTTTACTCACCTAAATCCATGATAACAAGACATTCCAGCCTTGAGTACTCTTTTTTTTGGTGTCAACATTGGACACTTCCTACTGGCCATCCAATGGTTGGTGCTTCTCAGGATTGAGGGAGCAGTGCCGCCAACAAAAGGGAACCATCATCAGGGACAGCCAGCGCAGGCACATCTACATCAAAAGATTACAGTTCCCGTGTATCCAGAAACAATGCCAGTGCCAGTGAGAGGCATGGAGGAGGAAGACTTACACCCTGGGCACATCAAACCCGACTTTGAAATTGTGCGACTTACAGTGAAATTGTATGATTTCAAAGTCGGGTTAACTGCTGATTTCAGGTGCGATTTGCAAGACATCTGACACAGATGTCTATGTAAATCGCACCAAAAGTAGTGCATGTGCTACTTTGGAAATCGGTGCGGCTTCGACCAAGTCAGAACCACACCGATATGACCGCTGTCATTGCGGACACTAGGGTGCAACTTGGCATGTGATTTGCAAATCACATGCCAATTAGCATTCAGTGTGACCGGGGTATTAGGTAAGTAAACCACTACTTCACAAAATATGTAAACAAACCTTGGAAGGTTGTTATGTTTTGCCCAGAGATAGGTTTTAACAAGTACTGAAGTCAAAGCATGACTATTAGGCAACTAGCATTTTCGGGAGGACATCAGCAATGGTGGCCTCCATGTTTCTTTCAGCAGAAGCCCCTTTTTAAAAAATCAGCTAAGCCAATTCCACCAGGTCGTACCCTTCCAAATCATAATACCTCTGGTAGTTAAAGGCTGTTTTTGACACTATTACTCCGGAAGGGCTGCCAGGAACTTATTAAACTTTTATGCTCAATGTTGCATCACTTGTGGTTTTGTAATGCACACTTTTTGGAGCCTGGTTCAGATTCACATTGACTTTTTTGAGATTTCCAGTTACAATTCTTCAGAAGTTTACGAAAACCACAACTGATTGAACTTTTAAGAAGATCTCTGAGATATTAAGCTGTACATCCACAAATGCATCTGTGTCCTGATTTTTAGTACATGTAATATTCTTTAGTTTTGGTAGCAAGCTTACCGAGTCTGCCCATTGTCCTGGCAAATCATTTTCTCCCGAGTATGACATCCAGGCGTGGTTTCGGTAGGCAGCTGGTGGCTGTGGAATGTAATAGCCAGTATATCCTGCACGATTCCCTGGGATGGCAAACACACCAGGAACTGTATTACCTGACAAGGTAAAGCAGTCATTGAAGAAGATGGAAAATGTTTCATGTTTGTTTTGTAGAAAAATGTTTCATGCTTGTTTTGTAGAAAATACATTGACACAAGACATGCATATTTTTGGAAAAACTTTGAAAATGCCTACTCTATTGTTCATCGTACACATTATGATCTGACTGTACAATTCTCTTTGACAAAACTATGTAAAATAAGACCTTACCTAAACTATCCAAGCCATTATCTAATTATCTAAATCAGTGTTTCTCAACCTTTTTTCAGTCAAGGCACCTTATAAAATTATGGACAATTTCAAGGCACCCTCTAAAATTATGGACAATTTTAAGGCACCCTCTAAAATTATGGACAATCCTGAGACACCCCATTCTAGTATGTAAATAGTTTTATACAATGCAGCAACATTCACACATGTAGGACAGCCAACATCAGAGGTCATGAGGCCTTGCAAGACTCCCAGAGGCCATAGTTTGGAGACCCCTGTTCTAAGACTAATACCCTTTTGCACACTGGTACTGACTAGTATTCTAGTGTTTCTCTTCTTCCTCAGTTTTTCTCTATCACTGAGCTAATGTGACCCCAGTACTGACAGAGAGGGGCAGAGGAGGATCAAACTGATGATGTAATTGGTTGTCAGGACGCCAGTGGCTAGAAGGTCCTAATGGTGCACAATGAAAACCTGTGGCTTTGTGTAACTAAGAGGCAGGCTTGTTCCACCCACTGACTTGTATACAAGTTATGGGCAATTTTTAGACATTTTGCCAAGTAACCCCTGGTTAGAAAAAAGTAAAAAAAAAAGTATTTTATCTGTTCAAAACTCTTTATAAAGTACACTTTAAAGGCATAAATACTGTACAGAGACATTATTAAAAATTTCCGGAATGGCTCCAAAATCCTCCACAATCAACGCCACGTGCTACCCACAGACTACAGCATGCACAGGGCCAGCGCTATAAACCTCCCAGGCGCAATTCATCCTGGGGAAACTTGCTTCATACTGCGAAAAAAATTTGTAAATGCACTGAAAACCAATTAATCCATTCCGGAGGTCAGAAAAAAGTAAAAAAAGTCTTATCTGTTCAAAACTCCTTATAAAGTGCACTTTAAAGGCACGGGGCCGGTGCTATAAACCTCCCAGGCACAATGCATCCTGGGGAAATTTGCTTCGTATTGTGAAAAAAATTTGTAAATGTAGTGAAAACCAATGAATCCGTTCCAGAGGTCAAAAAAAGTAAAATAAAAGTCTTATCTGTTCAAAACTCTTTATAAAGTGCACTTTAAAGGCACGGGGCCGGCTCTATAAACCTCCCAGGTTGCATCCTGGGGAAACTTGCTTCGTATTGTGAAAAAAATGAGTAAACCGAGCCATTATTTTCAATGGATTTTCATTCGTAAACCGAAAATGACATTTAACGAGGCATTCGTAAACCGAGGTACGCCTGTATACAGGGATATGGGAAGTGGTAGAGGCATAAATACACACATCCACACAGGTTGAACTGGATGGACCAATGTCTTTATTCAACTTTACCAGTTATGTAACTATGTAATTAGTAACCAATCACACAAGCACTTGCAGTACCTAATTGTTGGTAGATTTAAAGAGATTTTAAAGTCATATTATATTGTCTATGGTGAGCTTAGGATCCTAAAGAAACTAGAAACTATTAACTCTTTATCTTACAATTTGGTCTAGATAGCACATTCTGCAAAGGTCGGTATAAATCCAAACATATTTGGGCCCACTCCAATGTAAGTTGTAAAGATTTGGTTTGTATATTTTTTTATTTTCCTGTTAGCCAATGCTAAAACATACAATTTATTTCAGGTACTTATATAGTGCCGTCAATTTACGCAGTGCTTTTACATATATATTGTACATTCATATCAGTCCCTAACCCTCAAGGGGTGTACAATCTAAGGACCCTAACTTACATTTATACATACATATACTAGGGCCCAGGGGCGGACTGACAACTCATGGGGCCCCCGGGCAATAGGGGATCATGGGGCCCCTGTATCCTTGCCCAAACTCAAAAAGCCTATGAAAAAGGTACCAGGGGCATCTCATGGGGCCCCCTACTGACTCCGGGCCCTCGGGCAGTGCCCGAGTTTCCAAATGGTCAGTTTGCCCCTGCTAGGGCCAACTGAGACAGGATCCAATTAACCTACCAGCATGTCTTTGGAGTGTGGGAGGAAACACACGCAGGCTCAGGGAGAACATGCAAACTCCAGGCAAGTGGCGCAGTGGTTGGGGTTCGACCCAGCAGCCCTAGTACTGCCAGGCGGACGTGCTAACCATTTAGCCACTGTGCTGCCCACAATTAAAAACACATTTTATTTTAGTCAGGTAAATAACAAAAACAGCATAAAGATATGTTGTATCTTAATTTCCAACCAGCATAGGAGCTCTAGGCCCCTTTCCAAATGGCTACCAATTAATAGCTGCTCTTTTATAAAGCCTGCTGTTTACAAAGCTCAATAGTTTAAGCTCAAACGTAGACACACTCACAACTAAAGGAGTGGAAGACACACTCACAACTAAAGGAGTAAAGCATGTTCATTTTGCAATGTGAATTTTCACTTAGCTTAGTGAATGGGATAAAGCTAAGTAAAAAAAATACCCAATTGTGCAAAAAATGTGATTGGATGATTTGAGTCAGTACGGCTTTACCTCATTACAACATGCGCTACTCCTTTCGTAAATTAGCCCTGATGTTTAGAAGAGTGACTTAGCCCACTACCCCGTCTGCCTGCTTTGTTTGAACATGCCTAAGATGTTTCAGTTAGAGAAAGGGTGTTTGAAAGCACTCAGCATTATCCACGGTTAAAACAAAACATAAAAATAACATCATCTAAAAACTTCTATATGAAAATTCACACCAAACCATGATAGTGTCCTTTTAAACTTTTCTGCTAAACCAGTAAACAGATATCCTTTTGCTTTATTTGTTATTACATTTTGTTTGGTTTTTTTCTGTAATTCTCATTTTCTTTATGTAGTTCTTGAAAAATCCAACAGCTTTGATTCAGCTAAGCCAGTCTGGCCTTGTTGCCTGCCAAGCATACACAGAAAACAACTTGATGTACCAATGTGCAAGACCCACGTTTCAGCCTGGCAGATAATTCCTCTAATTGATTAGTCTTTTTTGTTACAGACAGTTCAGTGGCTCTTTGTTTATGTACAAACAGCGCAGATCAGCATATGGGTCACCCAGGAATTATCTCTTATAGGTTACCATTATCATCTGTTGCAAATAGTAGCTCAGCTAATGAGCAGTTATCTCTTAGGGAAGACTAACAGAGCAGACGGTGTTGATCCCTCTTCGGTAGGGGATTTGGACATGGTATAAACATAAAAAATAAATACTAAGAATGTCTTAGTGGATGGCTCTTGCCATCATAAGCAATGTGGGTAGAGGTCACAGATGTCATTCTTTGGATATGTGTAGTTAATATAATTGCCTTTTCAAGGTGATTTCCAACTCAGGTTAGTTGAGAGTGAATAAAACCAATAATTTACCTCTGGCAGTTATAGGTACATGGTGGTGGACCAAGTCACCCTCTGATTTCCTAATTTATATATAATCTGCATTGCAGGTCTCACTCCTGCTGGTAAATTCTTTAAAATGCACGCACAGCATATTCTAAATTTAAAGGAGAAATGTGGGATTGGATAAAAAAAACAAACTAACATACTCACCTAGGTGGATGCAGCATTGGTCTGATGCTGCATCTGTCCCCTACTGCTTTCAGTAATTTATTTTGAAAAGGTTTATGTTTCAGAAGATACAATTGCAACCGCTGTAGCATAGCCGGATCTAGGGGGGTGCTGGGGTGCGCTGTGCCCCCCCAGATTTCAATTATGCCCCCCCAAGCCAGGTGCGCCCCCCCCCCCCCATGATTAATGTGCCTATGACCACTGATCCCCCCCCCCATCCCTGCACTCAGGTACAGCCGCAGTGAAATGAAGTATACAGTCCAGACAGGAGAAGTGACAGCAACAGAGAGGAGAGAACAGAGAGGAGGTGCGGGCTTCTCTGTGATCTCCCTCCTCCTGTCATAACAGTGATCCTCCATGCAGAAGGTTACACAGGATCGCTCTTCGATCCGACGGTGCGCGACTTCATTACCCGCCCCCATCTCCTTCAAAGACTGCTCAACTCCTGGAAATGTGGATAGGGGCAGGTAATCAAGCCGTGCACTGTCGGATCTAAGAGCGATCCTGTGTAACCTTCTCTATGGAGGATTGCTGTTATGACAGGAGGAGGGAGATCACAGAGAGCCCACATCTCCTCACTACTTCTGTAGTTCCAACATGCAAGATTGGGGGAAGGGGAGCTTGTGGAGGAGGGGTGGGGAGGCTGTGCTGTGAAGGATAATTGGGAATTGGGAAGGATGTGTTAGAAGGCAGGATTGGGAAGGATTTGTGTTAGGAGGGGGGAATTGAGGGTTGGGAGGATTAGTGCTAGGAGGAGGGAAATTGTGGGAGATTTGTGCTAGAAGGGGAATTTGGGTGGTGGCGGGGACTAGTGCTGGGAAGGGTGAGGATTTGGGGCGGGGGGGATTGTACTAGGAGGGGGGGTGGAGGGGAATTTGTACTCGGTGGGGGGGATTTGTAATAGTAGGGGGCTTTGTATTATGAGGGGCAATTTGGGGGAGTATTTGTACTAGGAGGGGAGATTTGGGGAGAGGAATTACACTAGGCGAGGAGTTTTAGGGGGATTTGTACTGGGGGGGATTGGGCGAGAATATGTACTAGGAGGGGGGAATTTGGGGGGAGAGTTTGATATTTTTTTTGGGCGTGGAAGATTTGTGGGGACTTAGGGGGATTTGAGGTGGAAGGTGGGATGGGAGGATGATTAGGACTGTGAGGATGGGGAATTGTTGCATTTTTGGTTGGGTAGAATTTGGGTTTGCAGAGGGAATGCTTGCTTAGGGCGTGAGCGTGTTGATTAGTGCTATTTTTTGGGGGGGGGATTGGAAGGTGGGGGCACAGTTTGTCACCTTCAGTGCTGGATGACCTTGTCCCGGTACTGCCCGCACTGCACACAAGGCACTCAGCAGATCTTCTCCTCCCCACATAACATGGCTGAGATCAGATTCCCTAACAGACACAGCATCGATCTGCACAATGTGTAGCTGGCTGCTATGTTGCAGTTCTGACCTGTGAAATTTCCTGATTGGAATGGCAGCTGCAGTAGCCAGCTACACACTGTGTGGAGGGATACTGATCTCAGCTACAGTTGCAAGAAAAAGTATGTGAACCCCTTGGGATTACGTGGAGTTTTGCATGAATTGGGCATAAAATGTGCTCTGAACGTCATCTAAGTCACAACAATAGAAGAACACAGTCTGCTGAACATAATACTACACAAAACATTAGATGTTGCCATGGTTTAATTGCACATAACATGTAAACATTCACAGTGCAGGGAGGAAAAAAGTATGTGAACCTTTGGACTTAATAACTGGTTGACCCTCCTTTGGCAGCAATAACCTCAACCAAACGTTTCCTGTAAGTTGCAGATCAGACCTGCACAACGATCTGGAGTCATTTTGGACCACTCCTCTTCACAAAACTGTTTCAGTGTAGCAATATTCTTGGGATGTCTGGTGTGAATCGCTCTCTTAAGGTCATGCCACAGCATTTCAATGGGGTTGAGGTCAGGACTCTGACTGGGCCACTCCAGAAGGCGTATTGTGTGCTGTTGCAGCCATTGTTTTGTTGAATTACTTGTATGCTTTGGGTCATTGTCCTGTTGCATCACCTATCCTCTGTGGAGCTTCAGTTGGCGGACAGATGGTCGTACGTTTTCCTGCAAAATGTCTTGATAAACTCTGGAATTCATTTTCCCATCAATGACAACAATCCGTCCAGGCCCTGAGGCAGCAAAGCAGCCCCAAACCATGATGCTCCCTCCGCCATGTTTCACAGTGGGGATGAGGTTTTGATGTTGGTGTGCTGCGCCTTTTTTTCTCCACACATAGTGTTGTGTGTTCTTCCCAAACAACTCAATCTTGGTTTCATCTGTCCACAGTATATTTTGCCAGTAGTGCTGTGGAACATCCAGGTGCTCTTTTGCAAACTTCAAACGTGCTGCAATATTCTTTTTGGACAGCAATGGCTTCCTCCGTGGTGTCCTCCCATGTACTCCATTCTTGTTTAATGTTTTCCTTATTGTAGATGTGTCAACAAAAATGTTAGCATGTGCCAGAGATTTCTGTAGGTCTTTAGCTGACACTCTGGGATTCTTCTTTACCTCATGCAGCATTCTGCGCTGTGCTCTTGCAGTCATTTTTACAGGACGACCACGCCTAGGGAGAGTAGCAACAGTGCTAAACTTTCTCTATTTGTAGACAGTCTGTCTTACCGTGGACACATGAACATCAAGGCTTTTGGAGATACTTTTGTAACCCTTTCCAGCTTCATGCAAGTCAACAATTCTTGATCGTAGGTCTTCTGAGAGCTCTTTTCTGCGAGGCATGGTTCACATCAGACAGTGCTTCTTGAAACCAGTAAACCCAAAACAGGTGTGTGTTTTTTAAGGGCAGGACAGCTGTGAGCAACACATCCAATATCATCACACTGATTGGAGTCAAGGTTGGCTCACTCCTGGCTCCAATTAGCTCTGGGAGAAGTCATTAAGCTAGGGCCTCACATACTTTTTCCTCCCTGCACTGTGAATGTTTACATGTTATGTGCAATTAAACCATGGCAACATCTAATGTTTGTGTAGTATTATGTTCAGCAGACTGTGTTCTTCTATTGTTGTGACTTAGATGACGTTCAGAGCACATTTTATGCCCAATTCATGCAAAACTCCACGTAATCCCAAGGGGTTCACATACTTTTTCTTGCAACTGTATGTGCTGTATGGGGAGGAGGAGATCTCTTAAAGCATAGTTCCACTCACAAGCGGAAGCTCCGCTTATTTGCCCCCCCCCAACCATATTTGGCACCTTTTGGGGGGGGGGGATACCTGACAGGTACCCGCTCCCACTTCCGACTCAGTTCGTTGTAAAGTGAGCCGGAAGTTCGGCCCTCTCCTTCCTCCCACAGTCTCCTGGGAACTTTAACAGGTCCCAGAAGATTGCCGGGCCAATCAGGGGGAGCAACCCGACTCGTGCATGCGCAGTGGGCACCAGGCTGTGAAGCCGCAAGCTGTCACAGCCTGGTGCCCCACAGTTGAGATGCTGGTGCAGTAGAGAAGGAGAGAAGGGACGACATGGGTGAGCACATCGCTGGACCCTGGCACAGGTAAGTCAGCAGCTACAGTGCATACCATCAACTCCCCTGGAGCCAGAACATCAAAAAAATGGATTCATGATTGTTTGCAAATTAAAATAGCCCTCCATCCCAGTTTAAAGTTTATAGACTGGTTTTTAAGTTGGAGTTGTCCTTTAAACCCTTATCTGTGTCCCTCCTGGGATTTGTTGATACTTGAATTTAGAGCTCACCCAGAAGGGGCCGCTGAAGGAAGAAAGGTTCTTCTGAATAGTACAGAGGCTGCTCATCACCCAAGCACAGTCCCAAGTACACCAAGGCTCACTCTGAGATGTCTTGTTGAGGTTTATTGCTGAACGCTTCAACAGGAGAGGGGTTTAGGGTCACAGGATACTCCAAAATGATCATTAATCACAGTAGAAGGACAGACTTTTCTCTAATCTTCCCAAGAGCAGCTTTGCTTGGGGTAGCAGGGTATGGTTAGTATGTCGACTGCCCTGCAATAGCTGTCCATAAATCAAACTCTGGCAACCGGTTCCCCTATGGCACTTGCTAAACTATCAGTCTCAGTGAACTCCTTACTCAGTGTCCCAGGAGCTGCCCACCACCCAGCATCCTCAGAGACAATGCTTTTCAGCAAGGGTACTTCTTTGGCAATTCTTTATCAGGCCCTCAGTCCAGCAGCCAAGCAGCAATCTCTTGTTTTTCTGGCTATCTCCCAGGGGGCATCAGCCCCCCCCCCCCCCTTCCGGGAGACTGGAACCCTCCCTGACAAGGAAAGAACAATTCGCTCAGGCCTCCTGTACATTTATCACCTCCCTAGCCACCTTCTGGATGTCCCCTTCCAGGGATTTGCCAGGACATGCTAAATATTCAGCTTTGAATCTCCCTCGCTATGCTCTGGAAGCTTCTTCCAGAGGCAGGGGGAAGCAACTCTCAGCTCTGAAATTAAAAACCTGATCAGACCCAATTGATCAACAACCAATCCACTCACTGCAGTGTAGCCAAAAACTAAATTGACCTAGTAGCATAACAAGGATGGTGCTACAGAATGTATAGTATATACAGCTGAATAATTTCATACAAAATGATGCATTTGGTCCATGGGGATCGACAACCTTGAATCTGCTGGCAACCCCACATACTCACCTGGGCCTTGCTCATTCCCACTGGGCTCTGGCACTCTGTTCTTGTTGGTCATATCTGATGTGGATCTGTTTAAATAATAACAACCATTACTGATATATAGGCTATATTGAAAAAAGTGTTCACTCAAATTAATTTCTATTTTTTTTTTTGCATTAGAAAAAAATATTATATATACAGTATATACATACAGCCTCACCAACTGTTCTGTATTACTCATTACTCATTACAGTACCATTTTTTGGTACAGGCCCTCAGAATGTTTACCAGTCTATAAACACAGAGGACCATCTGTCAGACTGACAGCAGACCCTGTAATATATGGTAGCAGAATGGCTCTTCCAGTGGATTAAGACACTAGTAAGAACCTGATGAAGGTCCAAATTCAGAGGAGGACTGGGAGCACTTGACCTAGGACCTAGGAGGTAAGCAAAACCAACTGTCCCTTTCATGGCAGAAAAGTTTCCTGTGGACTAATGAAAATACAACACACAAAGGGGAGTATGTATAAAATAATCTGCATAGCTGTTCATCCATCAAATCTGAATGTAAATTCGGTCTGTACCAATGGGGTCAAATCGATTCTTAATTGGGCTATCTTCTCTGCAAATAGAATGTGTGAATAAGGAAAATACCACATTATGGCCACTATATATGGAGCTGAGAAGCATACTTATTTCCAATAATAGTCAGCACCATCTAGTGGGCATAGTGTGGTATTTGTCCATTTACACATTCTTGAATTAATTTACATGAAGTTTTGATAAATAGCTAATACATTTTTAATAAATAAACTCCAAAGTGTACCACAGCACCTTAGTTATGGGTGCCCATGGTAAAAGGTGGGTATTGTCTTAAAGATCTTGGATTATTATAATGCACTTTTCATAAGATATAAATTGTAAATGAAGAAGTACTTTACAAGCTGAACGAGATGACTGCTGCGAAAATGTGAAAATATGAAGTCACCTATTGTAATACTATATAAAATACATGCCATCATCATAAACAATTCCCACCATTCAGCTTCCTCTAACAAAGCAGCACAACTCATCTCACACTTCTGCATTTTTCCATCATTAACTTCCTTTGCAGCATCTGGCCTTCGATTACATAACACTTTAGATGTGCAATGGAAGTTATGCTGAAAGACTTCACTCTGCCAGGCCAGTCTGCCAGGTTAATCAAAGGTATGACCAAGCAGCAGATAACTCTATAACACCCCAGCAGCTCTCACCGACGGCAGGTCCTGGCCTGAGGTCTGAATGGGGGAAATTTCCACTCAGGACCACCAGTTCAACATACTGTTAATTACCGTACTACCCTAGGGGGCAAATGCCCCCCTGCCCTCAAGTCCAGTCCATCCCTGCTCCAACCCTCCAAGCCTTGCTTCCTTCCCAACATAGACACAGGCAGCAATAAAAACCTGAGAGAGGTTCTAACCCTTCTTTAATCATTCATTCATTCATTCATTAGTTTGGCATTTTTACATTGCACAATTTTTCAGCTTTTCACCATATTTAATAATTTAAACACAAAAATTGGCACATTCTTCTGAACTTTCAAAATCCAGTTTACTTTATTTCTACTTTGCTGGCCTGTATATTGGGGGTCTCGAAATATTTCGGTACAAGAGCTAAATATAGTATATTTTACAAATATTTGCAAGCTGAAAAAAAATCAGTTATAAAAATAACTGGGTCCTCCTTTACATTGGAGTTCTCATCAGAAGTTCTCCTTACATCAGGGTCCCCATCAGAGCCCCCTTACACCAGGGTCCTCATCAGAGCCCCCTTACACTAGGGTCCCCATCAGAGCCCCCTTACACCAGGACCCCCATCAGAGTGCCTTCTTACATCAGGGTCCTCATCAAAGCACCTTCTCACATCAGGGTCCTCATCAGAGCGCCTTCTTATATCAGGGTCCTCATCAGAGCCCCCTTACATCATGGTCCTCATCAGAGCCCCCTTACACCAGGGCCCCCATCAGAGTGCCTTCGTACATCAAGTCCCTCATAAGAGCGCCTTCTTACATCAGGGTCCTCATCAGAGCGCCTTCTTACATCAGGGTCCTCATCAGAGCGCCTTCTTACATCAGGGTCCTCATCAAAGCACCTTCTTACATCAAAGTCCTCATCAGAGCGCCATCTTACATCAAGATCCTCATCAGAGCGCCTTCTTACATCAGGGTCCTCATCAAAGCGCCTTCTTACATCAGGGTCCTCATCAGAGCGCCTTCTTACATCAGGGTCCTCATCAGAGTGCCTTCTTACATCAGGGTCCTCTTCAGAACGCCTTTTTACATCAGGGTCTCCATCAGAGTCTTCCCATTTATATCAGGGTCCCCATCAGAGCCCCCCCCCCCCTTCATCAGGCTCACCATCAGAGTCCTCCCTTCTATCAGGGTCCACATTAAAGTCCATCCTCACATCAGGGTCTCCATTAGAGTCCCCCCTTACATTAGGGTCCTAGTCAGAGTCCCCCCTTGCATCAGAATACTTCTTAGTCCCTGCTGATCTGAATTCTCCATCTTTGCACATTGAGGATATGCAATTGACCCTAAATGCAGGTTGGATAAAATCAAGTAGCTGGCCAAATCTGGCCTCTGCTGTGGATGTAACCTGGAAAACGATGGGTGAATTGAGTCAGAAAACCCAATGGGAAAAGTTGTGATTTTGACTACAAACAAACCCACTAAAAAGTAACCTAAAATAATTCACAGTACACAAAATGACCACTAGGTGGCAGAAGAGTAATACAAGATCAGCAAGTGTAGCTGTAAAAGGTGCCAATTAAAATGCGGAATATTATTCTGAGCCATGACTGCAGTGCTTGCATTGCTTCAATCAGCACCTGCTGTAGATGCCTTCTTCAGTAAAACAGCATCTAATCATTTTCTTTTCTTGCATGAACATACATTTTAAGCAGTATGGTAGGTGTTAAGGATTGGTGATATTTAAGGGGTATGGTTTCCTATGGTAAAATTCACATTTGCTTTTAAAAAAACAAAAACAAGTAATCTGAAACAATTGTTCCATCACCCAATCTTTTTCTTTTTAATCAAGGTCAGATAAGTAATAAACACACTACTGTAATGTACCTCCTTAATGAAGGAACAGCCACAGGACCTGTCCTCGGTGGTACCGGTGGTGGAGGAGAGCCCATAACCATTTCAGGGAGTTGGGAAAAACGGTATGTCTGTTGGAACAAAAACATTGAAACAATAATATATTAGAATGTCAGCCTAATAAAATGACTGTCCTTCCAGTTAAAGTATATGAGAACCCTCACCTTGTAAAACAATCCAGTTTAAAATAGAAATGAAAGGCAAATCATTGGTGTATAGATATAAAAAAAATTATAAATACCTTTTTACCCCTTTTTATAAGTGATTGCATTCCCTCTGTTCTTAGCTATAGAACTTAGAGAGCTGGGGGGGGGGGGGGAACTGCAGCACACTAATCTTCCCAGTGAATGGTTTTGCAGTCAAGGGGGGGGGGGGAGCATGGCAGAACAAGTCTGATCATTGGAGGGGAGCAGGCTGAGCTCCAAGTACAGTTATAGAACTGACCAAAGGTCAGTGGTCAATTTTTGATAGGAAAGCAGAGGGACTGGCAGGAACACCAGGGATTTCACACAATAATAGAAAGCAATACAAAGAGAACAAGATACTTTTTTTTATACAAGTACATGGTACAACAGACACATATCAGGAATATGAAATGTTTAAGGGTTTATACATTCTTTAACTAAAAAAACAAATCACCCTAAAGTGATACACTATATTGCCAAAAGTATTGGGACACCCCTCCAAATCATTGGATTCAGGTGTTTCAATCACCTCTATGGCCACAGGTGTATAAAATCAAGCCCCTAGGCATGCAGACTGCTTCTACAAACATTTGTGAAAGAATGGGTCGCTCTCAGGAGCTCAGTGAATTCAGGCCTGGTACCGTGATAGGTGGCCACCTGTGCAATAAGTCCATTCATGACATTTTGCTTGCTACTAAATATTCCACCTTCAACTGTTAGTGGTATTATAACAAAGTGGAAGCAACTGGGAATAACAGCAACTTGGCCATGAAGTGGTAGGCCAGGTAAAATGACAGAGCGGGGTCAGCGCATGCTGAAGCACACAGAGTGCAGAAGTCGCCAACTGTCTGCAGAGTCAATAGCTAAAGACCTCCAAACTTTGTGTGGCCTTCAGATTAGCACAACAGTGCTTAGGTAGCTTCACAGAATGGGTTTCCATGGCCGAGCAGCTGAATGTAAGCCTTACATCACCAAGTGCAATGCAAAGCGTTGGATGCAGTGGTGTAAAGCACGCTGCCACTGGACTTAGAGCAGTGGAGACATGTTCTCTGGAGTGACAAATCACACTTTTCTGTCTAGCAATCTGATGGACGTGTCTGGGTTTGGTGGTTTCCAGGAGAATGGTACTTGCCTGACTGCATTGTGCCAAGTGTAAAGTTTGGTGGAGGGGGGATTATGGTGTGGGGTTGTTTTTCAGGGGTTGGGCTTGGCCCCTTAGTTCTAGTGAAGGGAACTCTTAAGGCGTCAGCGTACAAAGACATTTTGGACAATTTCATACTCCCAACTTTGTGGGAACAGTTTGGGGATGGCCCTTCCTGTTCCAACATGACTGCGCACCAGTGCACAAAGCAAGGTCCATAAAGACATGGATGAGCAAGTTTGGGGTGGAGGAACTTGACTGGCCTGCACAGAGTCCTGACCTCAACCCGATAGAATACGCTTGGGATGAATCAGAGCAGAGACTGTGAGCCAGGCCTTCTCCTCTGACATCAGTGCCTGACCTCACATATGAGCTTCCGGAAGAATGGTCAAACATTCCCATAGACACCCTCCTAAACCTCATGGACAGCCTTCCCAGAAGAGTTGAAGCTGTTATAGCTGCAAAGGGTGGGCCAACTCAATATTGAACCCTACAGAATAAGACTGGAATGCCATTAAAGTTCATGTGCGTGTAAAGACAGGCGTCCCAATACTTTTGGCAATATAGTGTATTTCAATTAAATGTGTAGACTTGTGGTCCTAATAAACTCACTGGCTTCATATGTTTCAGCGACTCTTGTGGCAAAATCTGCCTTCCATTGTTACTGGCTTAGTAGCTTCTGTTGTGGGTATTCCTATTCTCCATGAGTGTTCCCACCAGGGGCGGACTGACAACTCATGGGGCCCCCCGGGCAATAGGGGATCGTGGGACCCGTGTCCTTGCCCAAACTCAAAAAAGCCTATGAAAAAGGTACCAGGGGCATCTCATGGGGCCCCCTACTGACCCCCCGGGCCCTCGGGCAGTGCCTGAGTTTCCAAATGGTCAGTCCGCCCCTGGTTCCCACTCTTTCTACTGCATTACAGGTAAGATGGCATAAATTAAAGGCTATGTCCACCTTTTGCAAAAAAAAATAATAACTACACATATATTTGCAGGGGGAAAAAATCAGCACTTATGTTTTGCAAATCAGCCTGCAAAGTACTGCAACCAAAATCAGTGGATGGCAGATGCAATGCCAATTCCTGCAGACATTTCCTCCAGCACTATGTCCATACCAGGGGCGGACTGTCCATTTGGAAACTCGGGCACCGCCCAAGGGCCCGGGGTCAGTAGGAGGCCCCATGAGATGCCCCTGGTACCTTTTTCATAGGCTTTTTTGAGTTTGGGCAAGGACACAGGGGCCCCATGATCCCCTATTTTCCCAGGGGGCCCAAGAGCTGTCAGTCCGCCCCTGGTCCATACAGAAGTAGGGCTTTCATTTACTGAGTTGGAGGAAGTGTTCCTAGACTCCAAGTGAGCTTATCACCACACTTGTGTTCCACTGAGAACTACAATTTCTTCTGCCATGGTGGCAGACTTGTAGTTCCATAATTCACAGATCTCTGTGCATGAATGGCACAGTTATGCAGGTGAAGCCATGCACAGCCATGCCAGTTTCAAAAGTGACAGTTGCTGCGGGGTGCAAGAGCGTTTGTATGTTGTCACAGGTAGGGGGCGATGTGGGGGCCCCATTTGCACCATATTACACTCTAAATATGAATGTAACACTGTGTAAAAAGTGGAGTTAGCCCTTAAACTTCCAATAGGGAGAGTGGGAATAGGCCATAAATGTCACAGCCAGCGTGCAGAAATAGAAACTCAAGGATAGAGAAAAGACTCCATTAGGTGATTTACCTCTAATATCTACCAAAAGCTGAATTTTCATTTTTAGGTGAACTAACCCAACTATTTTTACAGAAGAAATCAAGATAAGGTTGAACAGCCCTATGAAGGATAAATGAACAAAAACAGCTATTGCTGCAATATTCAGCTTCAATCCAAAGATTTCACTGCAGTCCTTTGTTCTGCTGCTAAAAGTCCTTAGTCTGATGGCCAGCATCATTCAACTCACTTCCTCTGAGACCAGGGCACCCTGGATCTGTCTGTTCCCTGAGAGTGAAAGGAGAAGCAGCACAGTGATGAGCTCCCTCTGTCACTCTGCTTTCTCCTCCTATCAGCATGCTTCTTGTCAGCACATGAACTAATTGCTTGTCAGGGTGGATAAAAATCAATGATTTCTTTTAAAAAAATCAAAAAAATCTAATTTTTTTGATTTTAATCGGATTTTTTTTAATAAAATGCTTTTTGAGGAAAATATATTACCATCCAAAGGTTATTCCATCATGAAATAAAGATTAGTTTTTTAATTATGTAGAATAAAGGTGTATATGTTTAATTGTTTTGGTAAATATATTCCATGAATCCATTCACAATGTCATGCTCTTCCAGAGGTTTTTGTAAGATTATTGGGCAGTTTCTCTGCCTACAAGATATTATCACAGATGTTTGGTTTACTTTTGCAGTTCTCAAAAATGAATTTGACTCAGCGGAGATCACATGCCTCTTCTTCACAGCAAAAATGTTATAACATGAACAGAGTTAAGAAAAAGACCTTAATCCTAACTTCTACAAACCTATGAATACAGAATCAACCCCTTCAGTGCTAAGTTTCAAGAAGTTCAGTGAATAGAATAGAAACAATATTTTTCTGATTGTTTGGAGTGGAATAGATCTGCACAAGAAGAAAGGGAAACTAAGTGTGAGGAGGAAGGGGCTGACAGTCTAAGTTTCTTAAAATATATATATTTTGTTTAGCCAAATTAGTTAGCAAACATGAATGTTTGTTTAAGCAAATAAAATATGCTGGAATGTTATTGTTTCAGTTGTATAAATCTATTTAAATTGTTATTATTAAGGTAATGATTATATTTCTCCTTCCTAAGTACAACAGAAAAGTTGTCCAAATATGAATGATTAACCTATTAAACTGGGGATAAAAAAACTAATATGAAAAGTTATTCTAAAAATCTTCATCTACTTGCATATTAAAGTTATACCAGCAAGAATTAGTCTTTATGTAGAAAACTAGGATTTAAATCAAGCCTTACTGACTAGTGATTTAAATCGTGATTTAAATCGTGATTTAAATCAGTTTGATTTAAATCAAATCCACCCTGTTGCTTGTGCTACTTCTTCTCGCGCTATAGCTCTGCTGTACAAATATCAGATTCAGGTACTTACACTGCCTGCATTTAAAAAATACACTTAATGATCTATTAATTATTAGGGAGCTGAATTAAGTTGTGTTTCTTGGAGGCAGAGGCAAAGGTAAAGAAATTCAACCAAACAGTTTTCTTACAGTTTCTAATGTAGGATTCTCCTTAACTTTCTGTCCTGGTGACAATGCAGAGGGTGACTCTTCCTACAGATAGCAAAAAAAAACTGGATCATGTAAGACTTAGTTGCTGCATTTGACTAGTCACTGAATTAGAATTAAAGAAGTTACATTAAATGTATTAAGGGTGCAATGGATCAAGTGAGGCTGCTTTTAGCACAGAGTTCCCTTTAACCAGGGGTCTTAAAGTTTGGAATCCACGTGGTAAAAGTCTGATAGGAGCACTAGACCAAGGAACTGAGAGTCCAAAATGTTTTAATAATGGAGATCATTCACAACAAGACAATATAAAACTGTCAACACATTTCGGAGGTACAAAGCTCTCCCACTTCTTTAGGGCTCAAATATATATATATGGGAGAACTCAAACTGGCACATTCACCACAAATAATTATTTGAAAGATGAAAAGTAGAAAATGACCAGGAGCAAAATTGCATCAGCAAAGACAACTTCCAAATGGTGATTGTGCCATTTTGAGTCCCCCCAAGTATATGCAATATTTGAGCCCTGAAGTAGGGGGAGATCTTAGTACCTCGGAAGCATGTTGGCTGTTTTATATTGTTATTGTTTTTATGTAGGAACACCAATATTAAATGGTTGTGGACTCTCAGTTCTTTGGTCTGCTGCTCTGATTGGACTTTTTACAATGCAATAAAAAACCTCACAGGGGTTCCAACCCTTTTATCTTTTTGAGATAGAAAGGGAAACACCTTTTTTGTGCACACTGAAAGAGACTGCTGCTGGAGAAATTTGGGTGTACCTCTGGTTATTGAGGACTATCAGGATCACAGTAAGTATATCTACTGCTGACCAGAAGGTGGAGACTATAAGATCACTGGAATGCTTGACAAAACACCTTTATAGTCCACTCAAGACCTCTGTTGCCAAGCAAAAGCTCCTTCACATCCATGCACCCACTGCAAGTGATGAGGTGAGACTCTGATTTATCTTATTAAGGTTTGTCCTATTGAAGTTCATTTTATTTTGTATAACACATGGACTGTGTCGACCCAACATACTGTAGGGCCCCTCTAGATAGCCAGGGGCAGCTAGCTAGCTAGAGTTTTTTTTTTGTTAGTAAGGCTGAGTAGAAGCCTGGGCAATAGTCAGCTGGGTCAACCTTAGGTCAGGGCTGACAGGCTCTGCAGGTCAGTTCCCTGACACCTCCCCCTGCTCTAGAATCTTGGAGAAGACTCTAGAAGCAGTGGGCGGGGGCAAGGAGGAGCTGGCCTGCACACTCCAGCCAATCCCCAAGCAGGATGCTTGGCATGGGGCCAGTGCAGCCTTTAAGTGTGCTTGATCCTGCTCAACAGCAGGAGAGTTTGGGTGGAAGATGTGAGGAAGGCTGAGATGCAGGAGCCTGGGAGTGGACCCAGTGGGAGAGGGCCTACCTACAGAGCGGGACCTGGAAAGTAGGATCACTCAGCCTCATTGGTCCCTGGAGGAGGAGGACCGCCTGTGGAGCC